ACAGTTGAAGGGATGGTGCTCTAGAGGAGCTGCCACCATGTATGGGGCTACAGTGGTTGAGCCTTGCTCTTTACCTCATCTGTTTTTCTGCCACTACCTGTGGCTTTTATAGCCCAAGTTTTGTTTTCTGACTGTAAAGTTGCAGCTTCTGCCTTTCTAATTCACCAAACATTTGGAGAAGGAAAAGCAGAGCTTTTCCTCCCTTCTCAAGCCATGCCTCCCCAGGAGCTGCTGGATTATTCGCCTGCCCTGAGGAGGAGGAGGAGAAGAAGTACCCCAAGGGGCAGCGGCTCAGAGCTGGGCATTAAATGTGTCCTAGTAGGTGATGGTGCTGTGGGAAAGACCAGCCTGATTATCAGCTACACAAAAAATGGATACCCAGATGAGTACCAGCCAACTGCCTTGGACACCTTTTCAGGTAAGAACCAGGTACCCCTGAGGATTTCTCGCTGACAGTATCCTTTTTGATTTTTTTTCTTCATCTCCTTACTGGCATAATAGCCTTGCCTACACTTCAAACAAGTTCTCAAGGGGAAAGGCATGTTTCCAAAGGGCACAGCTCCAACGGTCATGGGGACTCTAGGGCAGAGAGACTACCTTTTTAATTTTAAATACTGGGCTATGTCACCCTGTTCAAACCCAGTATAGTCAACATGGTACTTAAAACAGCAGCAGGAGCCATCAGTCTGGCCACTTGTTGAGGCTCCTAAATTTAAACACTAGAGGAACTGAATGGTATCAGCAAAAAATTTTGCAATGCTTCCCTGTTGCAGGCAAAGTTTTAATGGAAGCATTGAAGAGGAGGCTGTAAAGAGAAACTGGTTTTGTTTCTCATGCACAACTAGGGAGTCAACCTTCCTGCTTGGCTAGAGCTGAGAGACCTACAGAACAAAATTTGTGTTCTGCTGGAGTCTGTGAAATGGGGGGGAGAGTTTTTTCTTTGGGTTAACTGGCCTAGCTGCTGCTTGGCTTAGGATAGAGGGAGAGGGACAGCCTTGTGGAGTGTTGTTACTGAAGAATGTATATATTCATGATAGTACTAAACTCGGGTAAAAAACCTTGCTTCATAAAGTCTATTGAAAAAAATCTCATTGGCTTCAACAGGGTCAAAAGTTCACATTTCTATAATGCCCCTCATTACTACGCTATTTGAGTGTTTTTTATGAATATGTGCACTGAGACACTTTTTCTGAAGACTAACTCCTGTGCCCTAGTGAGTGGATCCAGGGAAAGGAATGGCCCTCTGTTTGTATCTCTGGTTAGGGATGAGATCCCTAAAAAGAGGTAGCAGGATAGATTCATCTTATCAAAGTTGTGCAATTTAGGCTTGATATATCAGAGAGCTGTATGGGAACAGCTATTGGGAATTCATGGGTGGTTCTTTCCCTGGTGATATAAGATTCCAGGAGAGAGATTTGTATGTAAATCCCTGGAGTCCAAAAGAGCATGAGGAAATCTCCTCTGACTACTTGCCCTGGGGCAAGGAGGTTGAATTGGAGACTGAAACCTGAGGGCTCCCCCTACTTATGCTTTGTCTTCATTAACATAAATAATTGAGCACATAAATAAGCACTGTCTGCTAAAAGTTTGCTTTGCATATAAGAAGAAGCCTTGCATATTAGAAGACCACGGTGTTCGGTGATGGCTGTCTGGAAACAGCTCTGCAGATGCCTTCCTGGCTCCTGGAGGGAGAGAAGGATAATATGTTATCTCCCTACTTAATTTGTGCATTCTTCTGTACTTTGAGTTGTCACTTACTAACCCTAACCCTCCAGCCTCTGACCTTCTCCACCAGTCTGCTGTGGGCCCTATCAATGCAAAGTTGAGCAGAACTCAGGCCAGGCACAGTCTTGGGAGACTAGCTCCTTTAAGTCTCTTTCTAAAGGAGACCCTGCCTTCAACCTAATAAAGAAAGGGTAACATCGTAATAATTTTGGAAAAACTTTGGAAAATGCTTTCAAAGTTATTGACATTAAGGAGACTGGGTTTCAGTAACTTTTAGAGGGGCTTAGTTCTGGCCTCAGGCACTTAGAAACCCCTATTGTAGGCTCCTACCAGCACAGTTACACCATTCAAGGGTGTGAATAGGTGTGATCTGATAGATTTGGCTGTGCTGGCAAAAGCCCCTAAGCTGCTCTCTTGCCAAGGTTCCTCTTTTGCTAGGGAGTACTGTTAATACTAGTATAATGCCCATCTTTCCAGATATAGCTGTGGCCATGCTGGGAGTGCTTTGCCTCATATAGGATTGTATACCAATCTATCAGAAAAGTGCCCCCAACATAGGCGTTGAGTTGCTCTTGAAAACGGGGCTTGGGCTTCTAAATCATTTAAATGCTTCAGAAAACTTCAGCCCTTTTATCAATGGTTAAAAATAAAGTCCTGATGCAGACAGGGTTTACACATGTTTTAAAGTTAGTTGATAAGGAATTTTTTTTTCTTTAATATTGAGCTCCTGCCTCTCTCGTTATTTTCTTGGTGGATAAGGTCTAAAAGTTTTTTAATAATCCTGCTTGTTTTACACTTCTAGTTTTTCTAGAAGTAGATTATAAAGTCTCTGTTTTAAACTGATGGCAGAGGGTCATGAAAGATGTCCTTTTGCCAAAACGGTCATTGCCACTGGCACTGAGTAGGTGTTAAGAGGAGTTGAAAGACAGACTCAAAATACCTTCTCCGCTATTGAGCTCTCAGTTGTCTAGACTCCCATAAATAACATCATTTTATGAGCTCTTCAGTCATCAGAATCAAGCAAAGTGGGATCAAACTTTTAACATTTCAAGAAGTAAAAAGGTAGAAACAAGCTCTTAAAATGCATTCTTTTTCTGATCTCCTTTATCTGCTGTAAAGAAGCACAAAGTGGCATGAGCACAGCTCCTTATTTAGCCTGACAGTTCTAAGCTAGAGACAAGCTCAGTTCAGGTTTGGCTGTGGACTGTGGATAAGGGAGCAAGGTAACTGTTGTCCCTCTGCTCCCACAATACCATCATGGTCAGTTTAGGAGACTGGAAGTATCATTAGACATTTCTAGTGACTGTATCAGTATCTTCTAAAGCAGGAGTGAGGCGGATGCAGCCCACCAGGCCATTTTATCTGGCCTGTGAGGCCCCCAAAACCTTTAGAAAATGAATATTAATCTGCCCCTGGCTGCCTGTCATGTGGCCCTCAATGGCTTGCCAAAACTCAGTAAGCAGCCCTCTGCCCAAAATAATTGTCCCTGCCTTCATGCCTTTAGAACAGGGGTGGGCAACTGTAGCTCAAAGGATCTAGTTACCCTACCTATATGTGAAGTAGACCTAACTGTCCACAACTTCAAAGTCAGAGAGAGACCTGCAGAGGCCTGGCATCCATGACAATTGGGACTTCTTTTTTTTTTTTTTTTACTCTTGGGTGTCGCCTTTTGCCTACCCTGGATCTAGATCTTAACTCTGCAGCTTGTTCCCGTCTCTAGTTCTAAACAATAGACCACAAAGCCAACAGCAGTTGGGGGGAGTGATTTAGTACAAAAGATGAGTTTTTAAATACCTGGGTAATGCTAAGAAACAGGGCTGCTACCCAGCCACTGTCTCTGTCCCACCTTCTGCCAGGTGTCACATAGAGCTAGATCAGCAGTGAAACATACACCCTGTGACCTTTCCCCAGCAGACTTTCCTGTTCTGCCTGCTCTTTCTTTTGTACTGAACCCTGGTATCTTTCCACAGGTGTGTATGCTGCAATAGTGGTGAGGCCAGCACTTTGGTAGAAGTCGAGTTGTAAGCATGTCTTGTGCTAGCAGGGGGGAACTTCCTCAGGCCAGCACTGTAGCAGGAGATAAATTATACTTCATATTTATGTTGTACCTTTTCTTCTGAGGATCACTAAATGTTTCCCCATGTGTTACTTGCCTCCCTCAATACCCCTGGTAGGTGGTGAAGAAATAATATACTAAAAGAGAAGTACCCAGTGCCTTGAAAGATCAAGTCGGAATCTGAACAGTTCCTTTGATCAGGAACAGTTTCTCTTCTTCCCCTGGAGCAAAAATGTGGCAACAACTTGACTGTCCTCTAGCCATAAGGAAACTGTAGCTTCTCATAGCCTGGTAGGAGAGAACTGTGGTCGTGCCTTCCTCCCTTTTCCCCCATCCCTCTTCATTCTTGCTGGGGGGGGGGCAGGGAGAGATGTCTTGTATTCAAAAGCTTGTCTAACTTTATCCCAACAATGCAGTTGGTCCAGTAAAAGATATGGCCCTAAGATCCTTTCCCCTCACAGTTCATTATTTTGTCTTTCATTTGCTTTTTCTTTGACAGTCTTCTGTCAGTAACAAAGATCTTTCTTCTCCCCAAGAGTATGCATGAGATCAGTTGTTTCTGACACCTATAGCTAATAACCTGAAGAGTAACAAAAGATGGTTCTTTAAGGAAACAAAAGCAAAGTCCTCCAACAAAGTGAATGACTGCTAGCCTGTGCCCACTGTCACCTTAGCACAGGAAGTCTGCTTTCCTTTGTCAGGCCAGTGCTATTTTCACATTCTGTCAAGACTAATAATGTATAACTTTCCACTCATTCCCCTTCTATAAGTTGCTCTTAGTTCCAGCCTCCTGTCATTTTGTGTTGTCTGAACTGTTAAATAGTCAGACAGTTTAACTCTGAATTTCCACTGGAAGGACACACGCAACCTAACTTAAGGCAGCAGGGGCTTGTTAAGGCTTCCTTTGACTAGGGAACAATAATACAAGTACAAAAGCTGTTTGTCTAATTTACCACTGACGTCTTCACTGGTGGTAGAAATGGTGGCAGCTATCGCTTCTTGGCCTTTCGGCTCAGATCAAGTGTAGACTAGAGGTGACGAGAACACCCAAACTCTATAAAAACATAAGGACTTGGGGTGCAGATGGGCCCTGAAAAAAAATTTCTGGAGGAACTGTGACACAATCATTTCCTCTTTAGGCACCTGTTTAACAGTTGTTCTCACATCTGTTGTTTTCCTCAGCTGGGGTGGTGCATATGCAGCATCTCTATAAAGACTTATATATATAAAAAAAAAAGTCCAGTCTCTGGTCCAAGGGACTTGAGAAGCCAGTAAGGGCAGATCACTATGAGTCCATAAGAGAAGCTCACAGATCATGTCCTTCCCTGATTTTGTTGTTTTAA